TGAGTCGTAAAATGGGGTTTCAGGATCCGAAATTCATTAGATTGGCTTTTCTCTTCTCCATAATTACTGCTACATCTTTGTTTCCGTTACTTTTTACTTTGTTCGAAGTTCCGATCAAATATTGCGCTTCAGCAACGTATATGGTGGTTTTGTTACTCATGATTAGGTATGCAAAGTGCTATCAAGTCTTTCTTGGGCCAGAGTAATCTCTTCCCTTTGCAGACATGTTTTTCGAATCGACATTCAGTCCCTGATGATATTACCAACCCTGGTTTACGTTCTTGGCCTGCTATTCATCGAGTTTTATGCTACGTTTTTACACCAGGTTCGTACTGTCATAAGAGGCTTGAAAAAGCAACAAGGAAGACCGAGCAGAATGTTGAATGGCGATTATGCCGGGCCCGTGCGAAAAATGGCAGTGGAATTATAGGGTTTAATTTTGATGACTACTCAACTGCCACAATTTGTTTGATGTTCCAGGCTTTGTTCAAAGCAAGTCTGGCTTTTCTTCCTTTGATGATGATATCAGTATATAACGCTGCTGGTGTTCTATTTTGTTATCTGTGGCTCATTCTTTTGGTTTTTGATGATGATATTGGGGTGGCTTATAAGAAGAAGCATTGTGAGCTTATTGAGGTGAGCATTCAACTGTTTTAATCCAACTTTCATTTTTTGTCGTGATGATACTCTGTTAACAATCGGGCTCTTTGTCTTCTTGCAAGAGTACCGATCGTTCGTTCTAGGGTTTTATTAGAGCAGGCCACTACCCTGTTCAAGCAGTGGAATCACTCGAAGAAGTTGAAGTCGTCGGCGGTATAGATATCTCTGCTTCTAAACACAACAATGGTTTTGCAGTGGTGGCCTTCAGTATTTTTGAATATCCAACTATGCGTGTGAGTAGACATTTTTTACGATCTCCGTCGGCGTATTACATATACATTTAATTTCCACTGCGTCTGTTTAATTTTGTTGATCTTCGTAGCCTTTGGCGATTTTCGATGATGTTGTTGTGATAACGGAACCGTACATCACCGATTATCTCGCTGTACGTGAAGCGAATCCAGTGGCAAATTTTGTGAATCAAGTTCTCACGGACTACCCTCAATTCCGTCCGGATGTCTTACTGTGTGACGGGAATGGACAGTTTCATATAAGGAGTAAGGTTTGACTACAGTGTACCAATAAAACGAGTTGTGAAGCTTTTTAGTGTAAGAGAGGTCATAGGTTATTTATACTATTAGAGGCC